CCTCTTCTGATTAGCTTGGGTAACCATGACATGCTGCTAGGCGTCAACCATGGTTTGTGGAAGCCCTATACGTGTATAACCACTAAAGGGAGAATTGAAAATTGTTTCAATTCACAATCGATGTAAAATGGTTTTAATCGCCCACTGCCTCGCTAAAAGGAACCTAATGGATCGCACACCATAAAAGGTGGAGATTGAAGATTAAACGGAAATGAGTAAGAATGATTAAATGGTTTAATCATTTATTTATGGCAAGGATTAATTAATATGTTAATTAATCAAACGAATAAGTTCGTTAAAGACCTCGGGATAGTTTTGGACCTTAAGGCCCAATGGGCTTCGAACGTCAAGCCCATTAACTTAAGTTGTATGACAATTTAATGAATAAAGATTCATTAAAGCCCAAAAGCCCAAAATCCCCAAGGTGGCCGGCCATATGGAATGAATTAGGGTTTTGGTTATTTAGGTCACTTAAAGAAGTGACTATATAAATGACTTTATAGCCAAATATTCATTAATGTGATTAAGGGTTTATTTTGGGTGAAAATGGGTGAGAATTGTCTCTCCATTTTCTCTCTAAAGAGGCCAACACCTTGGAGGGTACATCTAGCAATCCTACTACTCCAAGGTCACTCATTTTTCTTCTACAATCTAACCTTGGTGAAGAGACTTAGAGGTTCTCAATTTTGGGAACTTGGAGAACCTATTCTTCCATCCAAATTCATGGATCTAAGAAGCAAGGAATGAAGGCCCTATCTCTTTGGGTGATTAGCCTTTGCTTATGCAAAGAGGAATCTACAAAGGTATTAATTTCAACTCACTTTGTTTTGAGTTGATTATTGGTTCACCAAACTACTAGGCTTTGAATTTCATGGTAATGTTTTGTTTTTGAGTGCATGCAAGCATGATTCCGCCTTTAATTGTTAATTGCATGCTATATGATGTTGCTCAAATGAACATGTTTTTCAAAATAAATCCTTCACTTTGAACATTTCAATAATATCGGGAACTTGTTTTGGTGCACCAAGAATTAGGATATCACTTTGCACCTTTGGAAGAGCTTCCACAATGTCTTTTTCACTCTCTTTGATATTTGGAATCAAAAACCTGCAAGGAAAAAAGACATTTGGTGGACTAATGTTAGAATGAAGTGAATTTAGAACTTCCTCACCTGAGTTGGATGACATAGGGATTTGAGGAGCTTGCAGCAAGAATTCTTCTAAACTGCCCAGGTCGTCCTCCTCCTCTTCTGCTTGCAGCAGCAATTCATCCATGTTCGGGCTGTGTTTGGATAGTTCTGGGATAGCTTCATCCTTCATGTCACCTTCCAAAGTGATGGCTTCATCGATTTCACTTTCTGCCTTTGAATTTGCAATGTTTGAGTTGGAAAGTTCACTTTGATCTCGAATCTGTGCCATGAATTCCACAATCTGCCCAACTTGCATTTCCAATTCGTCCACTCTTTTGACTCGGTCTTGCATCTCCTGGTTTCGATTTTCTACTCCCTGATTCAAAGAGGTGAGTAACTTATTAAGTGTATCATTATCCAAGGATGTACCTGAATTGATTTGGGTTGATTGTTGTGGTGGCTGTGACGGTTCATATGGCCACTGATAGAACTCTTCCGATGGTGGCAATTGTTCTTCTTTTCGTAAACCCTGCGCCACAGAAATTAGTCCTTCAAGAATTTCATTATAATTCACGGGCATACTTTGATTTGATTGGAATTGTTGTGGGGGATGCTGTGGTGGCTGCATAGGTCTTGAATAGAACTCGTCTTGCTGCCAATATCCACCTTGTTGAAATTGTTGAGGTTCATCCCACATATAATCTGAATTACCTCTCCAATCTGAATTGTAAGCGTTGGAAAACATGTTGCCCCTTGATTGGTTATAGCCTTGATATCCCCAAACATCTTCATTGACAGAAAATTGAGGACTTTGATATCCTTGCCCATAGGGCACATCAAGTGTAGGGACACTTGGCATTGTGGTCCGTTCGGCATTATGAGTCAATTGAGCAGTGAGTTGTGCCAATTGAGCTTGAATGGTCGCAAGTGCCATGTCTCGCTCCATTTGTACCTAAAATCAAAGAAAGAAAAATAAATCAAATATCAAAAGTAAAATACACAAACACCAATATAAACATAAACAAAAACAAAAATAAAGGGATTAGCAAAGTTGCTAATCCCCGGCAACGGCGCCAAAATTTGATGTGAAAATTACTTGACACACAAATTAAACCCTCTTTTTGACAATTGTAGTAAAGTATGTAAGTAGGATATCGTTCTAGGCCGGGGATTAGGAGGGATTGCTAATCTATTCTAACTTAATTTAAAAATATTAAACAAGACTCAAGGACACAAAACTAGGCTAAAAACTCTAATAACTCGAAACACACTTATAATGACTCAAGAGAATGAAGTGAATTAACTCAAAACTCTAATAATATAATTTAATAATGGGGGGGGGGTTTGGTTTTGACGAGAAGTAAATTAACTTAAATAAATTACAGAATTGACAAAAACATGGAATTAAGATGAAAGGATAGGTGACGGACTAGCTAGAGGGTTCTTCTCCACACATGACACATATGCAACCTAAATTGATTTTCAGTTGTTCTTTCAATAAATTGTAAATCTCAACGCCCCAAATTAACCGTGAATTGCACTAATTAACCCTCAGTTTTCCACAAGTTATTGGGTTGGATGATTGCATACGACAACCCAAAACATTCCCTACAAGTTCCCTACATGAATTGCATAATAGAGATACAAGCAAGAATCATTAAGTTCTATGAAAAACATAAGCATTGACGAGGCACTCGTTACTATGATTTGCATGAAACTTATGCCAAGAATTTACTTAACGTGATTGTGACTAGCAACCTTCACTACTTGTGAATATAAGTTCATAATGATTACGTGAAATTTACTTATATTCTAGCATCAAATTCATGCATGTAAATTAAGTATGCATTCTTAATCGACATACAAAAATAAGTTATCAATCAAGCAGTTAAGCAAATTAAATCACAACTCAGAAATCACAACTGAAGGTAATCAATTCAAATTACAAATATATTCATGGCTTTGAATTAACCTCTAGCCAAAATAAGTTTATTTACACATTATTAAAATAGAAATGAAATATAAATTTGGAAAGATTTAACCGAAAGATTGAGTGAAGCTTTTGCTTCTGTGCTATTGCTGCCGAGGCTTCACGCTGCCTCTGTCAATCCCTCTCTGACCTCCTGGTTTCTGCACAGTTTTCTGTGCTTCTTTCCTTGGTTCCTCCCTCTCGCTGCCAAGGGGCAGCGTTCCCCTGGTTCCCTTCACTCTAGCTGTCATTCCTCTCTCTTATTTCTGTTTTTCCGCCCCTCTCTCTTCCAGCTCACGCTGTTTCTCTCTACATAGCTGCCAACGCAGCCTTTTCTTTCATTTTTCGCACTGCCTCAGTGCTCTCTCTCCTATCCTTACAGCTGCCAAAGGCAGCCCACTCCTTTTTATTTTATTCTTCCCCCTTTTCACGCCTGCTTTTATTCTTTCCTTATTCTTTCTGTTTTCTCCCCCAGCTGCTTTTGTTGTCTAGTTGGAAAGCCACGCTTGCTTATGATCATAACAGCTAAGAAGCATCTGATGGCAATTGCACTTCTAAACAGCTTACTACGAGTATTGACTCCCGAAATGCATTCCACAATTCTTAGGCAGGTCACGTCTTTAGGAACTCTGCAAGCAAGAGAATTTGCTTGAAGTTGGCGATCAGAAAATAGACAAATAATGACTTCAATTAACTCTTCGACTTCAATTATAATCGCAATGAATAAACTAAATTAATTGACCTACAAAAAAATCATAATGTTCGAAGTAACTATTCTGTTTATTATTTAAAACTCATTTGTGCTATTTTTATTTTCTTTGCATAACAGATCCTATAAACACAAAAATAACGTAAATAGCTCAAAAATATAAGGAACTAACTAAGAAAAGACGAGTGAATTCGAAGTAAAAATATATATAAATATGATCCGATCAGCAATTTCGATTACAAAGGGAAGTAGATCAAAACTGAAGAAGGGTAGAGCAAAAGGGGGTGCGGATGACTTAGAAAAACGGCTATGTCTTTTGAATGACATAGCCTTCAATGGTGATGATAAACATGAGGCTGAAGCAACTGAGGGAGGACAAGGAAGTGGAGATGAGGCTGAAGATGGTCTTCTCAATGCTGATGATGAAGGTGATGAAACTGAAGAGGGTCAGGAAGCTGAAGAAGTTAATGAAGGGACCGAAGTAGAAGCTAATGAAGGTAAAATTTTTGAAACATTTATTTTTACAATTTTAATTTCAGTATTCAATTATTTTTGCAAATTTTAGGTTTTTAACAAATATGCATTGTTTGTGGCAGTAAATGCAGAGGATGAAACTACAGATAGTGAGTTTGTGGACAGTGACTACAGTTTGGAAGATGATGATCGTCGTGCAGTAGATGATACGGCTGTAGAAAGTGTCGTTGGAGATGCTGAAAGGGGTGAAAGGGGTGAAGGGGTTGGGAACCAACATCCAGAAGATGTTCCCCTTGATGATGAGAGACAAGACTCAGATGGCCTGCACATTGTTGACAATTCAGGTTCAGAATGTGATGAGAATGTCATCTACCCTGAGTTTAATGAAGAAGCCGACAGGGATGATCCAAAGTTTGAAAAGGGATTAAAGTTCAGAGATGCTGCACAGTTGAGAGAGGCAGTGTGGTCTCGCTCCATTAAGCACGGTGCACTTTTTATTAAGCTAAAAAAGAATGAGAAATGGAAGATTAGTGCAAGGTGTGAGAAAAACTATCCATGGAGATTGTATGCTTCCAAGATGTACAATGAAGATTCAATCCAAGTGAAAACCTATGTTGGGAAACATGAATGTCCGAGGATTTGGAAGGAAAATCCTAACTGCAAAGCGGTATGGCTTGTGAAGAGGTATGTGGACAAGTTCAGACTCAACCCAAGAATGCCTATCACTACATTTGTGGAAACAGTGAAAGAGGAAAGAATGGTTGAGATCTACATCAAGACAGCCTATAGAGTGAGAGCACAGTGTTTGAAAATCCTTGAGGGGAGTAACTTGGATCAGTACACAAAGTTGTGGGAATACTGTGATGAGCTTAGGAGGACAAACCTGGGTAGTACAATTCAGATGAAGGTGTTGCCCTATGATGATGCTCATGTGATATTTCAGAGGATTTATATTTGTTTGGGGGCTTGTAAAAATGGATTTAAGAATGGATGTAGGCAGCTTGTAGAGTTGGATGGTTGTCACTTGAAGGGAGTGTTCAAGGGCCAGTTACTGTCTGAGTGGGAATGGATGCAAATAACCAAACTTGGGTTATTGCATATGCTATAGTAGAGCTCGAGAACAAGGACAATTGGGTTTGGTTTCTGGAACTGCTAGCTGCTGACTTGGGAATTGTGAACCAGCATGCTTGGACTTTCATTTCTGACAAATAAAAGGGTTTAATACCAGCTTTTAAGAAGGTGCTGCCTAATTATAATCATCGGTTCTGTGTTAGGCACTTATACACTAACTACAAGGCAGATGGGTTTAAAGGGAAATGATTAAAAGATGCCTTGTGGAATGCTGCCAAGGCAACAACCATCGCTGATTTTAGGGAGAGTATGGCTGAGGTGAATAGGCTGAATGAAAAAGCTTATAAATGGTTGGAGAAGAGACCAGCCTTGCATTGGAGTAGGTCACACTTTGAGACACACACTCAGTGTGACATTATGTTAAACAACCTCTGTGAGAGCTTCAATTTTTTTATCCTAAGGTCTAGAGACAACCCTATTATTACCATGCTGGAAACTATAAGAGTTTTATTGATGAAGAGGATATGGTTGAGAAGAGATGCAATGAGGAAGGATAAAGGAGCTAGCTGCCCAAAAATCCAGAAAAAGTTGGAGGAGTACAAACTGAAAAGCTCACACGCTGTAACTACATGGTCTGGAGGAGAAAAATTTGAAGTGGATGACGGCAGAGGCAATGTATTTGTGGTGGATTTGAATGGGTGCACTTGCTCATGCAGAAGATGAGATTTGACAGGCTTTCCTTGCATACATGGTTGCTCAACCATCTATTATGCAAGGAAACAGCCTGAGGAATTTGTTTCCTCTTGGTACAAGAAGGAGAAGTACTTTGAAGCTTACGAAAACTTGATTCAACCCGTCCAAGGCATGAAATTTTGGGAGTCATCTGAAAACAAATGCATTCTTCCTCCAACTTTTAAAAGGCAGCCGGGGAGACCAAAAAAGAGGAGACATAGGGAGGGTGATGAAAATGAGTTCAAGTTAAGCAAGAGAGGGCAAAAAAATGTGAAATGTGGTGTTTGCAAGGCCTCAGGACATAACAAGGCCAGATACCCTACCACTCATCCTCCTTCAGCTACTAGAAAAGGAAGAAAAACCAAGAAACATGAGGTAATTTTGATATTTTTTGTTGATTTTTCATTTCTTAAGTGAATTTGTTATTTGTGAAGTGTACTATCTGTCAGTGCTAATGTTATATGGGTTCATTACTTAGGCCTCAACATCTAAGGCATCACAACCCTCTCAGTCATCTCAGCCATGCACTCAGGAAGCTCCATAACCTTCATCTCAGCCAACTCAAGCCTCTCAAACCACTTCAAAGTCTACTACAAGAGGTCAGAATAGGAGGAGAAATGTTCCATGATGCTGCTTTAATGTTTTAGGTTGTTTAAGGGTTCATTTTGTTATAGTTGAATATGCCCTTAGTTTTTTTTGGAAACACTTTTCGATAGATCTTTAGTGTTTTGGACAGAGTTCAATTAGTTGTTAAAGTTGACCCATTAGTGTTTTGGACAATTTTTTTGACAAATCTTTAGTGTTTTTGGAAGAACACCTTGACCCATTAGTGTGAATTGGATGGTGTATATTGAACTTTGTTGTGAATTGAAAGTTGTTGAGAATTCAACTTTGTTGGTAGTTTAAATGATGAATTTGCATATTTAGAATTCAAAGTTTGTTTGGAATTTAATTTGCAGATTTGGAATAGAAAGTTGTGTTTTTTTCCTGGGAAGCTTGATTTTTTTTTTCAAAAATTTTTGGCGGGAAAAAAGTGTCAGGTGCATGGGTTTGGGAAAAAAAATTTTGTCGGGAATTTTTTTTTTTTTCACTGAAACCCTCTCTTAAAAAAAAACACGTGGACACACGTGGCGACCCATGTGGTGCCCAGTCATTGGTCACATGGGCGCCACGTCACAGTTAACTGGAGACTTAACAGTTTGACTAACGGATGTATGAGACTGTCCCAAAATTTACACTTTAGGTATGACTCTGAGACAAAAAAAAACTTGATGTACTAAATGTTGAAAACCACTAAACTTGAGGGTAGTAAATAGTCTTTAATAAAAATGGCCAAATTTTCCAAAGTATATTTTTAACAAAGTTGCCTAATAATGTACGTACTTAATGTTCACGCTATACCCGTTCCATATTTTATTAACTATGAATAACACTTACCTTAAATTACATCATAATGAAATTCATTGCTCGTATTGGCATTTTTACTTATTAAGACTAGAAAAAGTCATGAGTTGTGAAAGTCAGAAAAATGGGAAAGAATGTTGGAGAATGAGATCAAGTTGATCAACCATTCTAGTCCCTTAATCAAACTAAAACTTGATTTTTGTGATATTGGTTTACAAATTTTAGTGGGAGATTTTATGTGTTAATTAGTGAATGCAAGACATGTTAGAAATCAAAATAGTTCAAATAGTCATGTGCTATAAAATACAGAGAAAACTATGAATAATTCTACTGTATCGAGATACTCCCCTTTTTTTTTTTTTGACAAAACAAAAAAAGATACTCCCCCTTTTAGAGAAAAATAAATAAATAAAACAAAACACCTCCTCCATCTTTTTGAAAAAAGGAGAAAAATATAACAGGAAGTCAAAAGAAATCATGAGAAATGAATTAAAATATCTCATTGTCAACCATTTAGATCAAAATTTAGCTGGACGTTGGTAAGGAGTATGCAGATCAAGGGTTCGGATCCTCCCAGCAAGAGAATCTAAATCTTGGAGGATCTTGCCTTTTCATTCAATGCATGTTTTCATGTGGCTTTCGATCTACACAAAATAAATATAATACTTATTTAAAAAAAATTAATAAAAAAACAAATATATCATGATTTTGGCGCCAAATAGTCTATGATGGTTTCTTTGACTCTTTGGCATACGTTAAAAACTTACTGAACATAAGAAGTTGTGGGTATTTATGCCTACATGTGTAAACGGAGGAGTGAATGATATAGCAGTAGAAAAATGTTAAACTTGTGAATTCCAA